AGCACTGGCTGCTTCATGACACATAAATCATCGACCATGACTAACAGCCATGAAGTGGTGTGATAGAGCCACATGGAGGCCTGTGTCAGTGAGAGACTGGAGGGAAGGAGACTGTATCCTAGCTCCGGCTGGTGGTAACAGGAATGGAAAATAATGTTCACAACTGAGAAACATTATAGAAATGAGCCATAGACCTTGACAACTGATGGACTACGGGAGAAGAGTCAGACTAGGAGGATGTGGTATCCTTACTAGAAAATTGGGAAAAGCTACCGGAGTTTGGGAAGAAGAGAATTCAGGTTTTGTGAGCTCCTATTCGAAATGCAGCTGGGATATCAACTTACTGTCAGCAGGGAATTTGAAATATGGATTGAAACTCAAAGCAAAGTTACCAACCTAAAGATTTGGGAGAGTCATTAATGTTTGAGGTAGTAGTTGGAGTATTAAGATCTCATGATAGAAAGGGAAACAGACCTATGAAAATAGTACCCAGGAAATAATTTTCATCTGGAGAAATTCAGTCCCTCTTAGTAAACATGTTTATCTTTTTCTGTATAAAATCTTATAACTTCAACAAAGTAAAAATGGTATAATCATGTCCAAAGCCATGTATTGTGATTAAAATACTTTATTAGAAAAGAATCTTCATGTTCTCTTCCAGGTCAAAAAGGCCTCCTTACTCCATGCTATAATGCAAAGACACCATCTGGGATGTTTGGACCTGTAAACCCTATTCTGAATTCAACTTATACCTTCATGTCTAAATTTTTGGAAGAAATTAGTAAGGTGTTTCCAGATCAGTACATTCATTTGGGAGGAGATGAAGTGGATTTTAAATGTTGGTATGACAATTTTTATTTTTACCTGTCACATGTCATAAGGTGGTATAGAAGTTTCAAATTAAATAGTAAGATTTAGGGTTAACACCTCTGCTTTCAAGGTTAAAAGTTGGCAGCACAATTCCTGAGATAGTGAATTTTTGTAGAATCCACATATGGGTGGTTTGACAAAGTAAAAGCTTTCAGGAAGGAGAATCAAGATGTAGAAGAAAAATGGAGACTTAACCAGATACTATAATGAATGAGAACTGCTTTAGTGAAAGAAGGCAATGGTTAAATAGATTTTTTCAAATAAAAATCTTCTTGGCAAATAGCCTGAGATTGAGGAGAAGGGTGGGAAGAAGAGAGTCATGTTTATAGGAATTCAGTTTATGGACATTTTTTAAGATAAAAATTGTTTGCATTTTTAAATCTGAAATAGTTTTGGCATTGGGACCTTATTGCCTACCTAGAGTGTTAGGTTAACTACTTTCAGTTTCACATTCACTGAAAGGATAGTTTTATGAAATTGAGGAGTATGTGCTTTTTCTAATCCAAGCATCTTTAGTTTTTCTAACGTGGACATTTCTTACTCTACTGACATTGTGTAGTTTTGAGAGTGCTGTGAATCTCCCCCTTATTTCTCACCATCTGCAGGTGAAGGCTTAAGTACTTTATCTGGAATTGTTGTAAAAGGGAAAGTCTACACTTTGTCAGTCTTCCTGAGAGTCTCAGAATGACTGAGTGCAAAATCTCTGCCATGTGTGGTGGCTGTTGCCTTTCGAGGCCACAGGTGCTAACTGTTGCTCAGGCAGGACTTGCTGAGGGGAGCTGAGCCTGGCTTTATCTACCTCTTACAGACTTGAGTGGTTGTTCCTATATTGTGTTCAAGTCATAATGCCTATAAATTCTTTTGATCAACAGATGCCCACAACTACTCATCTTTTTTTTCCCCCTTGTAAAATATTTTGTTGAGGACACTAAGTCATTTGTTTTATATTGTTCCAGTCTGGGTTTTGCTAATTGCATTCCTATAGTGTCATTTAATGTGTTCTTCTTCCCCGTGTATTTACCCTAAAGAGTTAAATCTAGTTTTGATTAGATAGAAATTTGATTTTGGAAGTGGGGTAAGGCTACTTCAGGAGTTGAACATTAGTCCATACCCTGAAAGCTGTGCTACAGTAACACCTTTATGGATCTTTATCTTTAGTTACAACTAATATTGAGATCTAATTGACAAGTGAACTAGTGAACTATAAAAATAAAGTGAGCATTTCAAAAATCTGATACTTAGGGAGATTCTGGGTGAATTTTTTAAGTTGCCAAGAAAATAATTTTGAAAGACAACAGTTATACTATACAATGTGTGTTTGTTTATTTATTTTTAAATTCTGAACCTGGTAAGAACAGTCATTCAGTTTTCACTCTGGAGTCAAGCATTTTACTTGTTTGGGTATGAGAAACAGGGTGAAACAATCACTGAGGAAACAGGAGGGGCTAGTAGAGAAATAGTTCTGTTAGGAAATCTGGGATTAACCCAGTGTGTGCTGGACCCCATATTTAATGCATTGTGATACTGGAGAAATCAATTATTAGATAAAAGCGTAGACACTTTAACTGTTAATAATTTCTAAGACCACATCCAATACTGTAAATTGTAATTTTAATAAATGTGCTTTTATAGGGAAGCTATTCCTTGTCTCATGTGTATACACCACGTGATGTCCGTAAGGTGATTGAATATGCCCGACTACGTGGGATTCGAGTCATACCAGAATTTGATTCACCTGGACATACACAGTCCTGGGGGAAAGGTAAGGATTGTGTTTTCAGTTGCAAAGTGAGCCTCCTACCTTGAGACCCTGCCAGTTCTGCCCCCCAATAATCCATGATCGGGGATGAAGAGTCTCCGACAGTGAGCATTTTGTCCTGCATTTTTTAATCAGTGCTGTCTGCTCACTTTGTTTTTGTGATTTGCAAAAAGGTAGCACTAGGTAGAATTCACTAAGTACTGCGTCGTTACTGTGAGCAAGTCAGTGAGTCCAGGCACTGCCTTGAGCATAAAAGCAAGGATTAGAAGAAAACAAAATGATTACAGCGAGTAGAATATAAGTGAGTTCAAGAAATAGTTTCATAGATAACCCTTAAGAGCTTTTGCAAGATCAAGGAAAACATACTTTAGGGAGAAGGAATACAAGTGAAGGCATTTAGGTGGCATATGGTACAGCAGACAGTAGGAGGTACTTCACAGTGGCTAAGAACGGGCTGAGGAGCCAGACTGCCTGAGTCTAAATCCTGCACCTGCCCTTTATGAACTGAGTGATCTCGGGCAGACTAAAGATCATCTCATCCTCTGTAAAATGTGAGATTAGTAGTAGCCATCTTGTCATGTTTTTGAGGATTAAATAATGACTGTAAAGTGCGTAACTCGGCACCTAGGGTTCCTGGCTCCTCAGTATATAAATGATTAGGATGGAATGGACAACAGTGGGAAATAAGTCTGGACAAACACAATGTTAACCCTTGGATGAATAGCACTGGCTGCTTCATGACACATAAATCATCGACCATGACTAACAGCCATGAAGTGGTGTGATAGAGCCACATGGAGGCCTGTGTCAGTGAGAGACTGGAGGGAAGGAGACTGTATCCTAGCTCCGGCTGGTGGTAACAGGAATGGAAAATAATGTTCACAACTGAGAAACATTATAGAAATGAGCCATAGACCTTGACAACTGATGGACTACGGGAGAAGAGTCAGACTAGGAGGATGTGGTATCCTTACTAGAAAATTGGGAAAAGCTACCGGAGTTTGGGAAGAAGAGAATTCAGGTTTTGTGAGCTCCTATTCGAAATGCAGCTGGGATATCAACTTACTGTCAGCAGGGAATTTGAAATATGGATTGAAACTCAAAGCAAAGTTACCAACCTAAAGATTTGGGAGAGTCATTAATGTTTGAGGTAGTAGTTGGAGTATTAAGATCTCATGATAGAAAGGGAAACAGACCTATGAAAATAGTACCCAGGAAATAATTTTCATCTGGAGAAATTCAGTCCCTCTTAGTAAACATGTTTATCTTTTTCTGTATAAAATCTTATAACTTCAACAAAGTAAAAATGGTATAATCATGTCCAAAGCCATGTATTGTGATTAAAATACTTTATTAGAAAAGAATCTTCATGTTCTCTTCCAGGTCAAAAAGGCCTCCTTACTCCATGCTATAATGCAAAGACACCATCTGGGATGTTTGGACCTGTAAACCCTATTCTGAATTCAACTTATACCTTCATGTCTAAATTTTTGGAAGAAATTAGTAAGGTGTTTCCAGATCAGTACATTCATTTGGGAGGAGATGAAGTGGATTTTAAATGTTGGTATGACAATTTTTATTTTTACCTGTCACATGTCATAAGGTGGTATAGAAGTTTCAAATTAAATAGTAAGATTTAGGGTTAACACCTCTGCTTTCAAGGTTAAAAGTTGGCAGCACAATTCCTGAGATAGTGAATTTTTGTAGAATCCACATATGGGTGGTTTGACAAAGTAAAAGCTTTCAGGAAGGAGAATCAAGATGTAGAAGAAAAATGGAGACTTAACCAGATACTATAATGAATGAGAACTGCTTTAGTGAAAGAAGGCAATGGTTAAATAGATTTTTTCAAATAAAAATCTTCTTGGCAAATAGCCTGAGATTGAGGAGAAGGGTGGGAAGAAGAGAGTCATGTTTATAGGAATTCAGTTTATGGACATTTTTTAAGATAAAAATTGTTTGCATTTTTAAATCTGAAATAGTTTTGGCATTGGGACCTTATTGCCTACCTAGAGTGTTAGGTTAACTACTTTCAGTTTCACATTCACTGAAAGGATAGTTTTATGAAATTGAGGAGTATGTGCTTTTTCTAATCCAAGCATCTTTAGTTTTTCTAACGTGGACATTTCTTACTCTACTGACATTGTGTAGTTTTGAGAGTGCTGTGAATCTCCCCCTTATTTCTCACCATCTGCAGGTGAAGGCTTAAGTACTTTATCTGGAATTGTTGTAAAAGGGAAAGTCTACACTTTGTCAGTCTTCCTGAGAGTCTCAGAATGACTGAGTGCAAAATCTCTGCCATGTGTGGTGGCTGTTGCCTTTCGAGGCCACAGGTGCTAACTGTTGCTCAGGCAGGACTTGCTGAGGGGAGCTGAGCCTGGCTTTATCTACCTCTTACAGACTTGAGTGGTTCTAAATCTGCACAGATGCTGTTAGGGATATATGCTGCTTTTCTTGTTGGGGATGGGGTGGTATGTTACTTGAAACAGATTGGGCACATAAAACTTGTAAATAAAATTTTAATCACTATGTCTGTTTAGGGCATCTAATCCAGAAATCCAAAAGTTCATGGAACACAGTGGCTTTCAAAAAGATTTTAGAAAACTGGAATCTTTCTATGTTGAAAAGTAAGTGTTTACGTACACCTACTTCTGTTTTTGTCAGTGCCTTCTATAGAGATTTTAGTTGTTTAGTACCTTTTCCCATTTCTGCACTCTTGCCAAAGTGTAGATGCTTTATACTTTGTTGGATGAAGTATAGATAAGAAACTGTAAAGGACACAATATATCCACTGCTTGATTTAAGCCAGTATTATGCTGACACTAAGCCTTTTGCAATAACTGCTGAAATATAAAATAGCAGTTAGCTCAAAGCCTGGCTACCATGCAAAGGCTTCATTACTATCCACAGGCCCTGGGGTTCACTCCCTCTTGTCAACTGCAGAATTTTTGACTTTATACCCAGGCAGTCCAGTATGCTAGCAATGCCACACATGGCTGTGTTTATTTAAAAATTTCTGAGCCGTAACACTGATTTAGTTTTATACTATAACTTCTGCACAGTCTACATTATGTTCACCTGCAGAGTCTCATTTCCATCCACCCACATACAGTTGACCCCCTTTACTCATTTTATCCTCTCCCACTCCTCCCTCCCCTCTAGTAACCATCCCTCTGTTCATAGAATCTAAGCATTTTAAATGTTTGCATTGAAATTAAAATGGATGAAAATGAAAACTTCCATTTCTCAGTCACACTAGCCATATTTCAGGAGTTCAGGAGCCCTGGAGTGTACCGGCTTCTTCATTGAGAGAGAGAGAACATTCCTATCACTGTGGAAAGGCCTTCTTGATAGAGATACTCTATACTGGGCATCACTAAAGTTCCAATAGGGGCCAGAGAGAAAGAGCCACAATGTCCAGCACCCAACTTTAGCTGGGTCTGCTGTGAGGTAGGGTTATACTGAAAGATCCTTCTCAATGTTGCTAGAAAATATGCATGTTCAAGTCTGTGATCTGAAATAACTTGGATTTTTTTAATGGTAGGATCCTGAAAATGGTTTCAACCAAAAACAGGAGATCCGTCATCTGGCAAGAGGTTTTTGATAATAGTGTGAAGGTGAGAATGGCATCTGATTGGTCATGTGGGACTTACACGCTAACACCTTGGGTGGGAGGGACCCTGATGAAGTGTTCCCAACATTCTGAGGGACTGAGCTTACCTTTTTTTTTTTTTTAAGATTTATTTATTTATGCATACAGAACTGGGGTACAGGCCAGAGGTGCAGGGGCGGCGAGAGGCTTCACCAGAGACAGAGTGGGGAGCAGAACAGGCAGATCAACAAAGCACACTGCTGAGGGGAGCAGCGGGCGGGTCAGGAGAGGTCTGCCACGCCATGTGGTCTCCTCCGGGGCAGGAGGGAATCGAACTCATGCGGAAGTGGCTTTAGCTTCTCAGTGCTGTGCTTTAACCCGCTGCGCCACCAGGGAGGGCCGAGCTTACCTTTTAATCTTTATAAGACAATAACTTTAAGACTGGATCCAGTGATAATGGTATTTGCTTTTTTCCTTTCATATACTTTATTCTTGAGTGTCTTTTCTCATCTCTCTTCTACCCACCTCTGTTGCTGACTTATTTATCCCAAAGGGGCAGTACACTGCAGTTCTTTTCTACGCAAGGGCAGGATAAATAAATGAGGGCAAATGAGACCTCATTGCTATTAAGTTAATTTTTTTTTAAAGATTTATTTACTCATACAGAACTGGGGTACAAGCCAGAGATGCAATGGATGAGAGGATTCACCAGGGACAGAGTGGGAAGCAGAACAGGCAGATCGACAAAGTACACTGCTGAGGGGAGCAGCGGGCGGGTCAGGAGAGGTCTGCCGCGCCATGTAGTCACCTCCGGGGCAGCGGGAATCTAACGCATGTGGAAATGGCTTAAGCTTCTTAGTACAGTGCTTTAACCTGCTGCACCACCAGGGAGGGCCCAAGTTAATTTTATTGTTAAGCACAATTGTCAAAATATATTTAAATTCAAATGGCATTTCTCATCATCAGAATTCTCTTGTGTGGGCTACTAATAGAGCCTTTCCAGAAAGGTTGCTGACATCCTCATACTTTCACAGTGAGTAAAGCAGTAGTGTGATAGAACTGGACAAAAGCATTCATCATACCTGTATGGAGTAGTGTACTGGCAAACGTTAAATATCCAGGAAACTCACATCCCTAAAGTGAAAAGCTTTTGGCATTTACTGTGAGGGGAAAGAGAAACAAGATATTTGGTGTTTTCTCAGCGGTCTTAGAAGTTATTTCCTTAGCTCTAATGCTTTGAGCCTTTTAATTTCCTCTACTGTATTTGCTGGAACTAACATCTGTTGTAATTTGTATCTTTAATAGCTTCCTCCTGGCACCACAATTCAAGTATGGATCCCCAACAATTATGCCACAGAACAGTCAGTCATCACGGCAGCTGGCTTCCCAGTGATCCTTTCTGCTCCTTGGTATTTAGACTTGATTAGTTACGGAGAAGATTGGAGAAAATACTATCAAGTGAAACCTCTTAATTTTCCTGGTAAGTGAAGCAACCATCATTACCTTGGTTTAACTTCTTCCCAAGCCTCCCACTAAGAAGTCTTACCTACCACTAACCTTTTTATGCATCATTGTTTTATTTACATGAAAGTCCTATGCTAACCTTTGTGATAAAACTCGTAGTCCCTTAGATTTCCACTTTCATTAATGATTGCTGACACTATTTTTTTTTTAAATTGCAGTAACACTGGCTTGCAACACTCAGGTTTCAGGTGAATAGCCTTATAAATTAACCTCTAACCTGTGTGAAACATCAAACTAGTTTCTAGCCATTACCATACAAGTTGGCCCCTTTTTTCTTTACAAATTTTTAAAATGATGTTAAATGATGTATTATTATTTTACTCTCCTCCCCACCCCCCCATGATAGAATTTCTCTCCTTGGTGAGGTCACCACAGTTCTCCCACCAACAAAAACCCCAATCCTGCACCATGGTACACTGTGCTCTCCTTCCTGCTTCCCTCCCCTCCCCACCTGGGAGCCTCATATCTGTGGTTACTTTTCAAGGATCCAATTCTGTTTGTCCTTGTCTGATCTTTTGATTTTTCAGTTCTACCCCACTGGGCTGTGTCTGCTCCTGTCCCAGTACCATGCTATTGATTGTGACTTTAGAGTACAGTTTGAAGTTCAGAAGTGTGATGCCTCTTTTCCCCCTTTTTAGTCAGTAGAGCATTGGCTATTTGGGCTTTTTTGTGGTTCCATATGAATTTCAGTAATCTTTGTTCTCTTTGAAGAATATTAGGATTGCAGTGAATCTGTAAATCACTTTGAATAGGATGGCCATTTTGATAATCTTCTAATCCACGAGCAGGGAATATCTTTCCACCTCTTTGTGTCCTGCCACAAATTGGCTCCTTTTACCCTACCACCATTCTCCCTTTCCTTGGTAACCATTATTTTGTGCTGACAGTCTAAAAGCTGCTTTTGTTTTTGCTTTTTATTTTGACTTCAATTGCATGGAAGATAAACAAGTGTGCTATCGGTAGCTGACCTCCATCACCGACACCCTCCAGGTCTAGCCATTTTGAGAATGACAGGATTTCCTCTTCATTTGTAGCTGAGCAGTATTTCACTGTGTATATTAGCACATCTTTGTCCACTCTACAGTTTCAAAGATGCCTGCAGTAACCTGACCTGCCTCTCCAATGTAAATACCCTAGCAAGGTGTTAGTCCAGTCCAGTGGACTTCAGACAAAGTAGTAGTCTTCGGGTTCTGAGAAGTAAAGCATTCTTGGGGAAGGGAGCACTTTCTGAGAACCAAAAGGTCTCAAGTACCTAGGACTCAGAGTTAAGCACTTAGTCTCTTGACTGCTACGTGTTAGATAGGAGACAGGCATGTATTCACCAGTATTCCCCACTTCTCTCCCCAGGCAAACTATTATAGACAACCAGGGGAAAGTGCTTCTCATTTCCAAGTAAGTTGCCTACCACTAAAATTGTTTTGAAGGCTGTTCGACCCCATTAGTGAGCCAGCCTGACAAGCACAGCTGGTCAGGTGTGGGGCACCCGCCCCACTGTTCTCAGTGCTGCAGCCCTGAATGTCTCCCCAGGTTCAGATGACTATAGGAGAGAAATGCTGCCCTAGAATAAGGACAGGAGGAAGCAGTAGTGCCTGTGGATAAGCTTCGAGGACATCTACTTCACTTTCATTAATGTACTGATTTTCTAATGTAGGTTCTCCGCAGCAGAAAAGACTCGTCCTTGGTGGAGAAGCGTGTCTCTGGGGAGAATATGTGGATGTAACGAATTTCATGCCAAGACTATGGTAACACTTGAATTACAATGCCTTAGCTTTATTTCTCTAGTCAAGTTGGAATGCATTAGGAATTTCCCCAAGCAAGTAAGACACTTACTTAAATTGCTCTAACTTTAGGCCTCGAGCAAGTGCAGTTGGTGAGCGACTCTGGAGTCAAGGAAATGTCACAGATCTAAGCAGTGCCTACAGGAGACTAACCATTCACCGCTGCAGGATGGTCAGGTGAGCAGAGTTTAGTTTTCAAATTAGAAGGAATAATATCCTGTTTAGTGTTAGCTAGCAGCCTGGGGTTATTTTGTTCTGTTTCTAAAGAGATGTGAGTTAGGTTTTGTGGACTCCATTTTGAACCACTTTGTTCAAGACTGATGTAACTCATGCGATTTAAAACACCTTTTTATTCATCCTGTTCTGCAGACGTGGAATAGCCGCACAGCCCCTTTTCACCGGCCACTGTAGCCCCGAGTTCACCAAGTGAAGACGAGGGGAAAGCCCACAGCAATCTGTGCTAAGTCAACTTGATTCTGAAATCATGTAAGCTGTTTTTAAATAAATATTTTTATTGACTGAACGTTTTTCTTTTACATGCCATATAGAAGCTTGGTATCACTTAAGACAATGCATTCCAAAGGGTTAACTACTGGAAGTAAGAACCTATTGGTCAGGAAATAAGCTGTGTGTCCAAGTTACCCGTACCCACCAGGTAAAGTGTGATGGGAAGCTCCAGTCAGTTTCCAAATTCTATCTAGTTCTTTGAATATAGTGAAACAATTTGCCCCATAAAGAATGCAGTGAAAATTCTTACTGAAAATGAAGTAAGTAGGTGCTCCTCAATTTCTCTCCATGTCCAAGGAGCTAAGGCCTGTAAGTCAAGCCACTTCTTTGGTTCAGTAGTGTACTTTGCTCTTGAGGATTCATGGCTTGATAATTAGACAATTCTAAGGCAAAAGTAGCTGAGCCTGATGTTAGCGTTCGAAGCACAGTTGAGTAACCCTGATAAAAATAATGTAAATCAGTTATCAAGTCTCAAGACGCTTTCTGCTTATCTTTTGACCACTGTAAAGAAAGATGTTTCAAATGGATCATCTAACCATTTTTTCAGGAAAGAGTGGGTATAGAAATGTTGTAGATGCCAGAAAACATTGCAAGGCATGCTTCAGATGGACTCCTTGGTCCCAGCTTTTGGTGAGGTAAAGTCAAAGAGGCTCGTCAGAGAATGGCATAGCCTGCAAACTTAACAGCAGAAGTGCTTGGAAGATAGTCTTTGCAGAGGTTGATGCCTTGTTTTGGGACGGCATACCCTGCTGGAGGACTAGAAGTGACCCTCCCTGTACTGCCATTAATGCCCTAGATTGGGTTTTCCAGTGAAAATGAAGGTTCTTGCTCAGTTTATCCCCTGGTATTCAGAAAGCCTCACATTTCAAAGTACCTACCATAACTTCTGCTAAGGGAACAAATCCGGTAACAACTTTGTTGTCCTGTCGAGTCTGAATTTCCTGAATGTTCCCTCTTCTTTGTGCCAGATCTGCCAGGACAGGGCTGAGGTAATCTCCAGTCATTGTAACCTCAAGCTTCATCAGAGGTTCTAGAACTTGCTTATCAGCTTTCCTCAAAGCCTAGAGAAATTAAGGAATGTGAATCTCTCCCCTAAGTTGGAATTAAATATCTGTCAGGGAAAAGATAAGCAGTCAAAAACTTTGATACTGATTTGCACAGGTGGTTCAACAGCATGCCTGAGGCCTCTTACCGGTATGTTGAAAAGGGGGTACTTTGTTAGCACTCAGGGACACATGGCTAAAGATACACAAAAATGGTATTTACATTGTAAAGAATTATTTCTAGTCAGTGCCACACATACCAAAAGAGTTATATTAACTTTTAAGGTTGTAGGTAGTAGAAACACATTCTCTAGTTAAAATGGAGTTATTGGTTCAGAATTTTAGATTTCAAAGTCAGAGGTATGGGCACATTTGCAGCAACCTAAGGAAAACTTATGGGGGTCCTAATCTGACACCATAAAATGGTAAATAACTTGGATGGAGTTAAAGCAAGTACCTTAAGTACTACCAGGTTTGATTCTAAAAAGCCATCCAACACCGGCCTACCAAAATTCACAAGTAACAAAACAAGTTTCTACAAATTTAAGTCTCTGGACTTTATCTGGCTTTGGGTGATCATCTTACTGCGTAGGCCTCTGTAAGGGCATTATCATTGCCTAGCCTTTCAAGTAATGGGTCAGGACCTCTAGCCTTTCTGTGGTTAATGTCTCACCGCCACCTCCACTCAGTCATGAAAAATAGCCAGATCAGTAAAACCAATGTCTCAGTTCTTAGTAGCTTATTAAGCCTAACATCACAACCACAGAAAGTACTTGTCAGTCCTCCTTTTGAGTGAAAATACTGCTTTAAAAATGAGTCAACAGCAAACACCTAACACATCCTTTGTATTTTGCAATTCTTAGCCTTCCTGTAGTAAGAAGAAGACTGAATTGTGTGTGACTAATAAGGACTTACTGTGTTCATGGAGACATCCTGGTCCTCTTTTCTTTCCATCTTTCCACTAGCCAACCTTCAGAAATATCTGTATCGCTCTTCAACAACTATAGTTACCCAACATGCCCAAATGAGACATTGTTTTCCAAACACTCTCTTCTTTTCCTGTTTCTGTTGACAATATCACTATTCTTCAGTTCACCTGGATGTGCATCTTTGCTTTCCTAACCCCTAAGTAAGCTGCAAGATTTTCATTCCTGGTGTTAGTATTCTAGCTGAGAACAAAACTGTTCTGTGTCCTAAAGTAGCTCTTCCTATTCCAGCAACTCCTCTATTCTCATGCTGTTCATGTAAAACTCCTAAATGTAGTTCTTAAAGGCTTCTCTACAATTTGACTCTTACTTTTCTAACACTACTCTCTACTCTGGCCTCCCTCTGAAAGGAATCTGATGCCTTGTATGGAATGCCCCCTCCCGCCAACTGCCTAGACCATCACACTTCAAATATTAATGTCTAAGCATCTTGCCCAGTTCCCACCTCCTTAGCTTTTATGTTTTTCAGCTTATTCTCTACCTTGGCTATATTAAATTACCTTTACAATCATAAGCTCTTCTGTGTCACAAAGAACGAAGTGCATCCTGATATGGGTCCTCAGTACCCAACGCACACTAAGCACATCCTCAATGGCTCAATAACCTGAATTTATTCGTACATCATTAATTTCTCATAATATGAGCTGGAGTACTTTGTTGACAAATGTAAACTAATGATTTAAAACTAAGGATTACATTAAGTCCCCACAAGGTTACTCAGTATCAAGTATGCTCTTATCACTAATCAACGCATAGATTGTACTTTGTAGAAAGGCATATTAGATTTTGAAGGACTGGCCAATAAACTACATTGTCTTTCAGGTATTTTTTTTCCCAATACTAAAACCAGTTTCAGGAGAGCCTTTAATTACTTCAAGAAGTATTAACTTGAACTCAACCTTTTTAAGACTGGGTTTTAGGGTGTTTACATCTCCATGTGTCTTTAAATACTATAAAATCAGCTCAAATGTCACTGTAACCATATTTTTGGATGGCAAGTGTTTTAATGAAAAATCTTTTTCTGGAAAACTAGAGTATTGCCACATTACGTGCATGGGGTCAGCATTCAGCACACCCGGCCTTGGGTTAACCCACCCAGCTCTGGTATGTTACTGGGGCAACACATGTCCCTCAGCGGATCAGACTGATGCTTTGAAAAGATGCTTATCCTGAATCTGCTAATTTTGATCCTTGATTAAAATCTTACTTGAGTAAACAGGAATTCCAAAATTAGAACCAGTATTAGACCTTTAATTTCCTTTACATTATAGTCCATCATGGGCCAAGCTGACCCCAGAAACTTTCTCTACTTAAACCTGTCTGGGGTAGTAAGAAAAATAGTGCCTCTGTCAGAATCAGATTATATATATATCCTGGCAATCTTTGTTAGGCAGTAATTTCTAAGATCCTCTTTCAAATAAAATCCTAGTGATTAAGAAAACAAAAATTCTCCAATGTCAAAATTCATTTACTATTAAGGCTCAGGAGATAAAAACACAGCTCAGGCACTCTAAGCACAGCTGTCTACAGGATCACCTCCTGCACTAATGTCAAATGAGACACCTTAAAAGCAAAAAGGATTAAGATGATTCTGTACCTTTTGTATGCATCTTGAGACACAAGCAGAAATCATAGTTGTGGAGGTACCAGGATGAATTATTAGTGAATGTAAAGTAATCTCCACGTCTTGAACTGGGGATCCGAGCAATGGTCCTAGCAGAGGGTGGAAAATGTTAGACTCAATACATACAGAGGAGTGACTGAGAAATGTAAAGAGACAGAAGACTTCTGGTTTCCAGTTCCAACAACAACAACAACATAGGCTGAAAAATCAATTCTTGGTCTAGAACAGAGTCATGCTTTCTAGAACACAGAACTCATGTGCAGACACCTCCCCAGGAACAGGTGCTGGGGTAGGAAAATCAAATGTAATTGATGAGCTGCTGGAGGCTGTATGTCTAGTTTCTAGGGAGGCCCAGTCATATGGGAGCCCCAGAATTTCATGAGATATACCTCTAAGAGCTCAGGTTCTCACAATAAATAGTAGAAAAATCTGCTTTCAGCAGGTAGAAGGTAAAAGAAATCATTCTAAAATCCTCCAGAGCACTCTGACCTACTATGAGGAAAGTACAGGTTACCTGGAGCCTGAATGTCAGGATTACTGACTGAGCCTAACTGGCCTGAGGCAGTTACCCAACTCCAGCCCACTCTAACCAGGCTATTCCTCCTTAGAGGGTAGGAAAAAAACACTTCTGCACTTCCCAGATCAAATGCACAGACTCAATATAAGAATGAGACCTAGGGCCTCCCTGGTGGTGCAGGGTTAAAGTGTCAGCATTACTAAGCTATTACCAGCCACTGTGGCAACTGTTTGAGCCCCAGGCAGGGAGCTCACAGCATACCTGTCTCACCTCTGCTCCCCTCAGCAGTATATCTCAGTAGACCTGCCTGTTCTGCTCCCCACTGACTCTAGGTGAATGCTCTTACCACCCACACCTATGGCCTGTACCCCAGTTCTTTTATGCATAAAAAGAAAAAATAGAATGAGACCTAATAACAACCTAATCATGAGACATCCACTCCTCCCATACCTCACCGCTGCCAACTAACATATATCTTCTTTTACCTACTGGTATATCATTTATCCATATGGATAAATGATAAATGCAAAAAACAAACTGACTAAACAGACAAAGCATCAAGGAAGCTGGAATGATCAGATTGGAAATGGGAAACAACTGATTAATACGCTGAGGGTACTACAAAATAGGCAGGAATAGATTAGTAATAAAACCTGAGAGAAACCTTAGGAAAGGACCAAAAAAGAAAGGCTGAAGATAAAATGAAGAATGTGTTTGATAGACACAAAGGTAAACTGGACACTGGTAAGGAAAGAGCCTCTGAGTTAGCAGATTTATCAGTAGAAATCTCCAAGACTTCTAGAAAAGCAACAAAAGACTGAAAAGAAAACCAGAAACCAGAACGTGATACCCAAAGACTATGAGAGAACTGTTAAAAGTATAACATTGGAAGTGAAAGGAAGAAAAAGGCAAACCTAATATTAGCAATGGTTGCATGGTTAAGTGCAATACTAAGTTTATTCTTTATTATTTGAAGCTTACCTTGAAGGCATGCACTGTGAATTCCATTTTCAATTGCCTCTTCAGAAGTCTTCAAAAGGTCTTCACTAACACTTTCAGCATATTCAATAATTGGCATAACAGATGAGGTTTCAACTGGCTTTATTTCCAGATCTACAGTCACAAGATGCCGTTTGTCTCCTAAAGTTCTATCTAAGGTATCTGTAAACAAATCAAATACAATACTGTAGAGCTTTCTAGAAAGATTTTAAAGTGTCACAACTGGCAAAACTATAATCAACAGTTTAAAAGTCTTGTAGACAATTCAGTGGGAAAACTATTAATAACTAAATATATATAAAAAAGCAAGAATAGTTCTACCAAAAAAGCATCTACTTCCATCTTTATCAATACTAAAAATCTGTGGTAATGTCCTATTAATACTGCTTTAGTGTTAAGATGTGCCAGGGAAGAGTTGCTCATAAATTTTGATATGTATATTACAAATTTTGGAAACTTTTTTTTTTAAAAGATTTATTTATTCATACAGAACTGGGGTACAGGCCAGAGATGCGGAGGGTGAGAGGATTCACCAGAGATAGAGCGGGGAACAGAACAGGCAGATCGACAAAGTACACTGCTGAGGGGAGCTACGGGCGGGTCAGGAGAGGTCTGCCCCGCCATGTGGACATTTCCGGGGCAGGCGGGGATCAAACTCATGCGGAAGTGGTTTTAGCTTCTTAGTGCTGTGCTTTAACCCACTGTGCCACCAGGGAGGGCCGGAAACATTTTTTAACTGAATGAAATCTTTTAATTATAAAATTTTCACTTACAAGTAAATCATTGTACAGCAGGTTATCGATTGAAAATTAAAAGGCACTTACCCCTTAATTCATAAACTTAAATTTCATAATCTTCCAGAATATTTTATATACTTAATATTTATGATTTCTTTTCCCCCAAACTAAAAATGTCTTGTTAAGCTAGAAAACAACAACCCAGGCTCTCCCTGGTGATGCAACAGATTATTAGATCACCACATT